GATCAATGAAAGCGAACCAGAACTATAAAATGTAAGGCAACGTGATTATCAATACAGATGTCAGAGATCACTGGAGTCCTGGGAGCAGTGCCTTGTTCATGGGCACAGAGACAGTGCAGATTCTTTCACGCTTGCTCTTCTCCTGGCTTCTCCAGGTTCTCCACCTGCTCCACCCTGCTCCTGACTACCTATCTTAGATCCACTTCCATTTCTGTGAGAAAACACTGACCAAAAGCAACCTGGGGGGAAGGACTTTATCATGGCTGAGAAGTCAAGTCTGTAAGAGCTTAAAACAAGCTGGGTCACATTGCACTCCAGTCAAGAGCAGAGGAGGAGGAAGAGGAATGCATCTTCATTGTTCAGCTGGCTCCTTCTTTACAGTCCCTGACTCAGACAACAGAACGTTGCTGTTCACATGCAGGGTGGGAGTTCCCATCTGAATTAACTCCAACAGGAAAACAGGCATGCCCGCCCAGCACCACAATCTGGACAGTTCCTCACTGAGGCTCTCTTCACGGTGAGAAAAGACTTGTCAGATTGACAGTCAAAGCTAAGTGTCATGTTCCTGTGTCACGAGCCACAAGATCACCCTGGAACTGACTCAACCCTTGGTGCTGCCAATCCTCTCCACCTTTGCATTTCGTCTTCCATTGTCCCGAGATGTGTTTCCCGATTGAGGGTTGCCATCTCACAGCCTGCCTGAGAAGTAAAATCGTTCCCCCACCACTCAAGTCCTTAGAAAAATGATAAGTCAGGTTTAAAATAAAAAACCCAACCTGCATGTGTCAAATAAGCAACTTTATTAGACATTAATTTGTTTCTTTCTGTAAAGTAACCGAAGAGTTGAAATTTCTTTATAATTACACAAATGGGAATATCCAAACTTTAATTAACAATTAGGTTGATCAGTTTAAAATTTTGAGAGCATACATCTGCATATAATTGCTCTCCATATACTTCTGTAAAATCTAAAGCCTATATATACAAACATAAAAAATCCATTCATGCCAGCATTAGTTACAAGTGCACATTTATTTGAATGTGGTGAGCATGTTCTTTTATTGCCAAGAAAGTCAGCTTTGTTCCTTAATTGTTACAATAACCACAATTTAGGAAATTCTATTGCAACACCAATCTGTTGTGTACATCTATAATTAGCATGGCCTGTCTATCAGAGGAACTGCTGCAAAGCCTTTGCATTTTGTCTCCTTGAGCCTTTCCGAGATTCTCGGGTTTTAAAGAGATGCAATTCCGCCTAGTGAAATTGTTAAAGAGACTGAAAACACAGTCCTAGCCTTGCCTGCTATGTTCTGGGTTCCTGAACATCATAGAAAGGGGCACTCTTTTCCAAACACCAGCCTCCTCCCAGTTCTAGCACATTCTAGTTCTCTGATCAGATCAGAGGAGGACGGCTGCCATAAAACTGATCACCACAAAGTCTAGGTGTAGTCTCCCATGGTCATCAGTGACGGATTCTCCAGTAGCCAATGCCAATGCCCTATGGGTGATTTGCCCTAGGTAATGTCCGCCTTCACACCACGTCACATCACAGAACACCCACCACAGTGGCTGAGTCCATGGTAGAAAACTAAGATTGGAACCCAGCCCAAGGTGAATCTCTTTTCCCTTTATTTGCCATGACCTCAACAAGAGGAACAATGATACCTCAAACCAAATGGGGCAAGTGTCTAGATCCTTTATCCTGCCCTATCTAGTACAAGTATTTTAAAATGAATGCTTAGGAAACAACAGCGTTTACAGAATAATACCAAGTGTAAGTATGTATCGTTTTTTAAACACCTATGGATGACAAATTTTTCTAAAGTCATGTTCAATGTGTGTTGATAATTACTCTGCCCTTATACCACAGAATGGTTCCTCATATTTACTCTTAATAAAAATATTTATATGTCATAATTTTTAAAATACTCTGCAGCTTTTAAAGTTCTGTTGTATTTTATATTATGATATTAACCATGAGATCTTGGTGACAAATAGGGAAGGAAAGGTTATGACTTAACAGTGACGTGTGTGTGTGTTTGTGTGTGTGTGTGTGTATGTATGTATCTCAAGTTGACAAGAAGTGGATTGTGCTGGTTGGTTTTAATTGTAGATTTGACACAACTACCTCAAAAAGAGGGAACCTAATTCAAGAATGGCCCATATCAGACTAGTCTGCAATATCTGGAGAAGATTCCTGATCATGACTAATAGGAATGTGGGCAGCACTCTCCTTAGGCAGGGCAGAGCTTCGCTGAGCCAGCTGGAAAACTAGCCAGTAAGCTGTGTTCCTTGGTGTTTTCTACTCCGGTCTTGCTCAAGTTCCTGTCCTGTCTCAATAATGAACTATAATCTTAAAGTTAAAGCTAAGACAAACACTTCCTTACTAAAAATCAAAACCATTTTAGTGAGATTGCATTATGGATAACACTGAGATAGTAAGGGAAGCCTGAGAAGCTATGGGTCAGTCATGAGTTACAGGAGATACAGCAGGGGAGGCCAGCAAAGACATCCAAGACTTCAGTCCTCACCCAGTGAGTGGCATTGATTTCACGACTGTCTCAAGACCCCCTTTCTCAACAATCAGCTTGCGCGGGTTTGGAGAAGAAAGGGAAGTGGGAGGAACCTACTGAGTTCCATTCCACTCTCTGTAGCCATGCTGGAAGGGATTTGCTACCTCCTTCAATAGACTCTTCAGAGAACAAGAAACAAAGCTCTAGGCTAAATAGAAAGACATCTATTTAGCCTCTACACTTGGGTCACTACCTCCCCCTTCCCCTTCTGCGACCCCTGTCACCTCCAGAAGGCTGTGCACTGGGTCTTTCTAAATAATATCCTCCCAACAGTCTTTCCCTGGGATGAGTACATTAAGTATGAGGGATGATGAGAAGGCCTTCAAGAATCAAAGTCAGAGACCTGAGTGTTAGGTAGCGGAATCAATGTTCTGAGAACCTCAAGTCATGACACCCCCAAGAGCACAGACACAGAAGCAATTCCCTTTGTTGTCCCCTCAAATCCAGGGACATATCCAACACTCATGTCGATACACAGGCTACCCTAAGGAAAGCATAAGAAATGTATTTAACTGTAATTTTACATGGAGATCTGTCTTAGTTATTCTCATAGCTGTGACTGGATATACCTGAAAATAGGAAATTTAAGGGAGGAGATGTTTGAGCTCATGGTTTACGAGGGTACAGTCCACAGGAGTGGAGGCAGGGCAGAGTCTATGGCAATAGGAAGGAGAGGCTACTCCAAAACCTGATTCACTAATACTGAGACACATCACAGGGCTTTACAATCCAGTGGTACACTTCTCGTGGGCATAATTCATGAGGTACTTTATCCATACGCTCCGTTTTCAGCCTGTGACAGGCACTTGTGAAATGATTAACCCATACTGCAGAGTAACAGAATATTAAGTGACAGCCAGACATAAAAGTAACGAGAGACAAGAGTGAGGTGAGCTCTTCCGTAAAAGACACATTTTTATACAGGTAATCAATTTATCAGGACACGTGACAAATTCAAGCAAGAGACTTCCCAAAGTTAATTTAAAACCAATTAGAGGGTGCACATCCAGCAAGACTCTGAGGAATTCGTCTATTATTAACAGTGCCTCCCCCTCAACTATAAAGGTCTAATAAACAGTCTATAAATCCAGGAGATACGAAAACAATGTTCAAAGAGTGAAATGAACAGGAAGCGACAACTCAGGCGCGCCACCATCCACAGAAGAGCCGTCCTCCAGCAGGCTCTGGCCCCCAGATTCTCCTCAGTGCTGGGATGCACTGGTGACTGAACCTGTCACCAACAACTTCAAACAGGCTTGACTGAATCAACACTAGACATGCCTCCCACTTACCCCACCCCACGAAAATGACTTGAGAACAGCTTCAATCGTTCTGCTTGCTCCTCATTATTTGAGGGGTTTCCCACCTCCTGTACTTCATGAGACAAAACTCTGAAGTCTTCTCCATGTGAGCATGAGCACCTAAGTTAGGGTCCTGAGAATTTATGTTCATAAGGGCAGACGGACTGCTGTGAAAGGCGCTCTGAACACAAAGGGCCATTGTACAGAAGAACTCAGAGCTCAGCACGCACAGATCAAGCCAATGATACTCTATGAGGTTCCAAAGGACTACATGACGTTGGAACGGATCCAATCAAAACACATGTGAAATTCTCAAAACAGAAAACAAATTGTCAGTTTGGTGGCGCATGCTTGTGATCCCAGCCCTAGGGAGGCAGAAACAGGTGAGCTCTAGATCGGAGAGAGACTTCACCTCACAACCAAAACAAAAAGTGCACACACAGCCCGAGAATCTGATCCTAAACTGTCCAAGGCATGTCTCCTGGCTTTTAGGCATGTGCTTGTGTCTGTGGGTGTACTCTTCCTAGCTGTCAATATACAGCCACCCTCACCTGGGATACCAATTGGTTACAAAGATTTAAAAGTTCAGCAACCGCAGGATTTAGAGGGTTTTAACCCCTTTAAATGTGGGAAGATGTTAAATCCCATTATCTCTGCAGCCACTGCAAATGTTAGAATTCAGCTTGTCCCGTTTTTTTTCAGCTCTAGGTCTAAGGATGACAGAGTTATAAAGAGACAGATGCTTTTCTCCAGTTCTATAAAGAGCTGTCGCCAACCAAGTGACCTACAGGAAATAAAGCCAGTCGGTTCTCCAGCTGGTCGCCACTGATCAGAGCATCTAAACGGAAAGATATGTATTTAAGCTTCAAGCCACCAGGAAAACAGGTAATTGCTTCCTCAACTCCATAGGAAGCCAGTGATTTGATGGTTTGATGTGGGAGGGGGTGAAGGATTTTAGACATGTGTCAGAAGTAGCTAAGAATAGAAAAACAGAAAAAAAGTTGTCAGGGACCCAAAGAATCTCAGTGGGACAGAATGGGTAAACGCAATGACTCCGAAGCCATCTTGCTCCTGCTGGAAAACAGTTGCCATGGATACTCTCCCAGGTAACCCTCTCAAGTCTTACCTCTTGGGTCCTCACATTGATGTATCCATAGTGAATCCGAAGAGGCTGCCTGAATGTGTAAGGCAGTGGGATCCATTTTGTTTCGGGTTGTCCAAAGCAGCTCAGTAGCAAAGGGAAATTCATGTCATTGACGAGGCGCATGGCCAGCACCAAGAGGCACAGCGCTGTGAAGCTCGCCACAACCACAGACTTCTTCTGTAACACAGCGGAGAAGAAAAGGACAGTGAGTGACCTTCAACTAGCTGCAGCCACCAGAGAGGGAGGGGAGGGAGTGGGAGAAGGGGTGGAGGTGGGATAGAGGTGGGGCGGGCAGGGTGAAGGTGGGATAGAGGTGGGGTGGGGTGGGGCGGGGTGGAGGTGGGTATCTTTGAAGAATCAAAGGGTTTGGTCTTGTAGGGTATTTCAAGTTGGAGCACAAACAAGCCATCCTTGGGTGAGCACGGGCAGAAAGTTTCTTGTACTCTCCCAGCCCTCCTCCCTCTTCCTTACCTGCCATCTTTTATCTTAAGAACTCAAACCAGACACCCAACCATAGGAGACCCTTCTTGCTTCCTCAGCTCCCTCCCCCACCCTTCCACCACCAAGCTGCCAGCCCCAGCAGAGGTGAAGTCTCATCGTCCTTACTCAAGCCCTGGTTCTCAGCCTTCCTAACGTTGCAACCTTTTAATACAGCTCTTCACGTTCTCGTGACCTCCAGCTGTAAAATTTTCATCTCTGCTTCATCACTAATTTGGTTGCTGCTCTGAATCATAATGTAAATATCAGATAAGTGACCCTCAGAGGGTCACGACCCACAGGCTGAGAACCCTTGCTTTAAAGGCCTCTTTACTGTGATTTTCTCAAAGTATAATTGTGACCATTTCTTTTTCTACCACGTGATTCTCAATTCCTGAAGCCACTGGATGTCCTTGTCACAGGACTCTCTGAATCCACGTCCTCTGCATAGTATATTACACCTTACATCATACAAGAAATACAGCAAACACTTGCGGGAAAGGCATGGCTCACCCAGCTTCATTCCCACCTTACACTTCTGGAGCTGTATCCAGAGGGTTCTACCAACAGAAAGGCCACCTGTGCCCACCACGTAAACTTGAAATCTTAAGCACCAGATGGGAGAAGACCACACAGCAAACAGCCCAAGTGCATCCCCTTGGATGGACTGCAAAGGAAGAAAGCCGGAGCAACTGCATCTGGCGGGGTGAGAGAGAGCATGATATACACTCAAGATGGAGCTTGATAAAAGGCATGTTTTGATTGGTAGGGACGTGTGAGCAGATCTTTCTAGATGGAAGAAACAGGCAAGGAAACAAGAAAGCATGGGTTATCTGTGGGAATCCATCCGTCTCTCTTAGCAGAAGGAAAGCGGCCAGCACAGTGATAACTATGGTGGGCCACCCTGGGGACTGCGCTAAAATGTGAGCCCTGAGTCTAGGAGATGGCCGGAAGCCAAAGCGGACTTTTTGTTGATTTCTAAAGACAAAAAAGCTATGTCATATAGTTCAGCATGGCTCGGGGTACTTTGGAACAGGGAGGGCTTAGTTAGAAATGAGTAGGAGGCTGGTCTTTCAGTACAGGTTTTGCAAACCAAGGACAGAAACTGGAGCAGCGGTGACAGTGAGATTCAAGAAAGATTCTCAGTTTACACAGAAGGGGACATTAGCAGCAGACACAAAACTCAGAGCTGACCTTGAGCCTAGATCGCAACAGTGTTAGAGCAGAATCCTGCTGAAGTCACTGTGGTTGCAACAGTTTATCCCGGGAGCCAGATGCTAACGCCCTTGGCTCTTTTGGTGCTCTTCTTGGTGGACCGGAAGCTCAGTAGTCATGAAGTCAGAGAGAAAGTCAAAGTGAGAGCAGGAAGTCATGAAGTCAGAGAGAAAGTCAAAGTGAGAGCAGGAAGAGAGAAGAGAACTGGGAGCAGAGGCAGGAACAGCAGCTGCGACCTGCCCCTCCTGGCCCCTAACTGGGTTCGACTCTCAATTGTACTCAAGCTGAAGGAAAACCAGAGCTGCTAGCCGGGCGGTGGTGGCGCACGCCTTTAATCCCAGCACTCGGGAGGCAGAGGCAGGTGGATCTCTGGGAGTTCAAGACCAGCCTGGTCTACAAGAGCTAGTCCGAGGACAGGAACCAAAAGCTACGGAGAAACCCTGTCTCGAAAAATCAAAAAAAAAGAAAAGAAAACCAGAGCTGCTGAGGATGAGTGGCCGGCCTTCCGCCATCACTGATGGGTTTGGGGCCTGCTACTTCCTAGGGGTAATTAGCTCCAGAACTTCAATGGAGAACAGAAATCTACCTCCTGGCTCACAGCTGAAGCCAGGCAGCAGAGCCAGCATCCAGAGCGAACGTCACCTCAATTCCTGCTCAGCTCCTGTAATTTGTAAAACCCACATTCCTCTGTCTAGCCAGCCTAATTTTCTAATCACCCGAGAGTCCCCTGAGCTCTGCCTCCTCAGAACCCCTTATCTCCCCCACTAACTACCACAGCCTTCCCGCATTTAACCTTCTAATCATGAAGAAACGTTTTAATTTGCTCTTCTGTAGAATCATTATGTCCACAACCCTGCCATGTGTCAAGGTAACAGCGTAAATGAGGTGATGGATCTTAACAAGCTTAAAGGGGCACGGACCAGAAGAGACGGCTAAATAAAACCAAAGAGGCCAGTCACACTTTTCTTTCTGTCACCACTTAGACCAACAGCTGCTCGGAAGGAGCCCCAGATGTGATCTGTGCTCTTGTCTACTCTTCAGCCCAGCAGGCCCTCTGCTTCCCTTAACTGCTGAACTTGCACAGCTGGAGGCCTGGGGACAAAGACATAGAGGAGCCTTCCTAACACAACAACAGCAGCCACACCTACAGAATGCATGCAGGAGACAAAAGTAAGCCAACCACTTTCGAGAGAGACATCAGAACAGAATGAAGTCAGGGTAGCAAATGCCTGCGCCCCTGGAATCCACACCTGTCTCTGGGCTACTCAAGGAGCTAAAATGAGCAAAGAGTGGGTGGGCTACCGGTGGAGAGCAGGCACCGCCCTTCTTGTTGTACCTGGAACTGTATTCACGGGGTCAGGGGTCCTCTTTTCATAGCTCAGACCTCCAGTCCCACTCTGCCACGTTATGGCGGCCAGGTTCTTTCTCCCTCTGTCTAATGCGATGCTACCCTTGTTCTGCATGGGAGTAACGCATTGACACAACCCACCCTGAAACTTCACCAGAGAAGGTGTAACTTGAAGCTCTGCAAGGCAAGGACAACAGGCCCAGACACAAATGTGTGTTTCCTAGCAGTCACTTCTGCCACACGAGAGCCACAGTGAAGACCGTGGTTTGGGCACTCTGTCACACACATGGCTACATGCAGAGAGCATGCGTGTATATCTGCAGGAGACACAGAAGATGGAGAAGTGAACTGAGCACCAATGCACACGACACACATAAAGGTAGCCACACCTTGGACATCATACCGAGTTTGGACTAGGGACGGTTCTGAGAAAGAAAATGTAATCAACCAGGCAGAACAACCTCAAAGAGTCACAAGAGTTGGCAGGGAAAGCAGATAATGAAATATCATGTGTCAAATGAGGTTAGGGGAAGCTGCATGGGTGATTGAGGAGCCCAGAGGAAGGGAGGTCTGGTGTTCTTAAGAGGGAGAGTTCAGGCCTTGCTTGTCAAATAGAGTACCCTATGGAAGCGGGAGAGCAAGCAACCCTCAGGGCATTGCAGCTTCGGGAAGAGCAATTGCATGGGCCACTTTTTTTGTCAGAATCGTTAAAACATTTGATAAGGAGGCTGCTATGTACACTAGGATTGGCTGATTATGCTAAACTGATCATAAAAATTTATTTTGCAATTGCCATGTGTTAGTCAACACTCAGAAGATCAGTTTCACAGACAGTGGGGCAGCAAAAAACATCAGAACAACTTGAAGATAAAAGAACCACCAATTAGACTCGAGAAAATAAAAGTCAATACTTGTGATACTTGCCAGTAGACATGTGAAAGGCTTGGTCCAACAGATGTTTCATGACGCACAAAACATATAAAAACAACCATTCCTCTAAGGTCAGACGCACCAAGATTACAATGAGTGAAAAACTCGAACACCGCCAGACAACAACGGACTCTAAAAATGGAAGGTGTTATTAGGTTGCTAGTGTCAGTTGTTAAATTCTTTTGCATACATAGACGCGTACATACTGTGTGCGTGTGTAAGCACTCGGAAGCCAGAGGTCACACAGTGATTGTGTGTGTGTAAAAGTCACAGAGTGATTGTGTGTAGGGGACAGATGTCACACAGTGTGATTGTGTATATGCACACAGAAGCCAGACAGGACATCTTACTAATCACTCCCCATACTTTTGAGACAAGCTCTCACTGAATGCAGAGTTTAGTGATTCATTGCCAGCCACGAGCCCCCAGTCCTCCCATCTCTGTGGTCTCTCCCTGGTGCTGGTAACTAGGGGTTCATTCTGTGCGGCTTTGCTTTTTACATGGCTTTTGGGGACCGAACTCGAATGTTCATGCTTGTTACAAGCACTTTACCCAACAGACCCAACTTACTGGCTCCTAACTGTTGCCTTCTTGATGGATATTAACTAGCTAGTGAGCAAGAACTCATCAGGCCATGGGAAAAGCATGCTAAAGACCAGAGAAACCTTTCTCCAATATTCCAAGCAGCTGCAAACCCTTGAATTACTTGGGGCAACTTATCCTTATGAGCTCAAGAGGATGCCACTGTGCCCAAGTAGATCTGATGAATTGCTTCAGGGAAAGTTCATTCCTTCTTTGTTTCTCATTTGGGGGAAGTCTGAAGGGGCCTCTGGCAGCTGAGACATTTAAAATTTAATCCCCTGTGTACTTTAGAAATCTACATCAGAAAATGTGACATTCTATTTGCTCTTTCTCTAGAGCTGGAATACAATGTATCAGACTTTATAGCAGAAACGCTTATTTCAAAACAGACTCCATGGGGAGTTCCTGAAGGAGGGGAGAGAACCCAGTCTGTGCCCCTACAGAACTCACAGGCCACATTCAGTGATGTCTTTATCCTTCCTTCACAGAATTTAACCATTCACCATGCAATACAGACTTTATTAACCCAGTCAGATGCTAATTTCTTTCCAGGTCCCCTTCATAAATGACCATTGAGAGAATGCGCGTTTTTCTATTTAAATGATACTGCATGATGATTAAAGGA